GATTTCATTTTTTTTTTTTTACTACTGAGTAGAATTCCATTGTATAAATGAACAACATTTTCATTATTCATGGTCAGTTAAGAGACATTTACATTAGGTATTGTGAAAGGACCAGCAGCACACATGGATGTAAAAGTATCTCTGCAGTAGGATGAGTCCTTTGGGTATATGCCAAGGAGTGGTATAACTGGATCATATACTAATGCGTCTCTGAACCCTCTCCAGTGACGTGTTCTCATGCAACAGAGGGCAGTTAGCACAGGTCACAGCTGACCAAAGTGGATAGAATAAGAGACTGCAGAGTGTGTGTCTCTGGACAGGAATCATTAAAATTCACCCACCCAGGCCTCTGAGTCCATTGCGGAAGAGGGCATTGGAGAGTGCGTGAGCCAGGTGTGGTGCATGACCATAGAAAACAGAGTCTCCCAGCTTCTGGGAACTCGCTCATACGAACCTGCTGCAAACATGACAGCATGTACAGAACCCATGCAAACACATCACACAAAAACCAGCATAGAGTTGGGGAAATGGGCCAGAGGCCCCAACATTGCCAAGCAGCTATTGGCAGCTGACCACTGCTGGGGGAGGGAGAGTCAATCTTCTTTAAGGGAGTAATACTAGATAGGCTGAACAGGCTCCAGTGGATGAACTCACAGTGAGAGACATTTGGGTACACAAACTTGACTCAATATACCTTAACACATATGACAGAGTACATGAAATCCTGTGGACCTGCTATGAGCTGGAGTGCAGATAGGGGAAAGTTTCTAAAGATGGTTAAGATGTATTGTATGAAATGTAAAAAATTCAATGAAAATATGTTGCAAAAAAGCAAACAAAAATAACATAAAATGCAATCAAAACATTTAAAAAAGAGATTCAAGAACATCCTTAACAACACAGCGAGTTTGAGGATAGCCTATTCTAGAGACCCCGTGTCAATAAAGAAAGAAAGAAAAAATAGTCACGGTACAGAAGAAAAAGTGAAATTAAAGAAGACAGCAGACTGTGGAAGACTGCCCATGCCCCTGGATTAGCAGAATTGCTACCAAAAGTAAATCAGTAGACTCAGCGCAACTCCCATCAATATTCTGGCGTTACACTTCACAGAATGAGAATAAACAATGCAAGGATTCATGGGACACAAAGACCAAGAATAACCAAAGCAGATATAAGGAGAAAGCACAACCAGGAGCTCCCACAACACCCGACTTCAGTTGTACTGCAGAGCTATAGTGAAAACAAATCTCATAATGGCATAAAACAGACATTTAGACTAATGAGAACAAGAGAGAGCAAGAGAGAGAGAGAGAGAGAGAGAGAGAGAGAGAGAGAGAGAAATCTTCAATAGGATGACAAAGCTGTGGCCACCTATTTTTTGAGACAGGTGGGAAAAGACAGCTGATTTTATTAATGGTGCTAGAAAAACGGTATGTGGACCCGCAGAAGAATCAAATTAGATCCATATCTTCCACTCTGTGCAGAAACCACCTTTTGGTGAATGGAGGACAGCCTATGCTAGAGACCTAATCTCAATAAATAGCTAAATAATGAAGAAAGGAAGAAAGGCCAAGACGCATAAAGGTGAAATTGAAGAAGACACCAGACTGTGGAAGACTGCCCATGCTCGTGAATTGGCAAAGTTAATACTGTGAAAATGACTATGCTACCAAAATTATTCAATAGAGTCAATGCAATTCCCGTGACTGTTCTGATGTCACACTTCACAGAATGAGAATAGCAATGCAAGAATTCATGGGACAGGAAGACCAGGAAGAGCTAAAGAAAATATATCTTTAATTTGCCAGGAATCAGGATTTTCGAAACAGCTTCTGTGTGCATTTCATAGCAATGCAAGCACGAGGCCTTAGTTCCGGAAGATGAAAGAAATCAAGGCACGGGTACATTTTTAAATAAATGATAGTCTTATTTCCTATGATAGGAGAACATTTTCTGTGTTTGGGGGCTTTCCTTCATGTCGGCACAGAGATAGAGCAAATCAACTGTTGATGTCCATAGACCTCTAGACCTTCAACTGGAATCGTTACAAGTCCATAGACTAGAGAACATCAGAGCTCTGCTCTTTTCTATTATTTGGTTTTCCTGCATTACTTCTAAGGTTGGATTAGGAGAAATAACTGTAACAGGTTGTTCTAGCAAAGCAATTACTGAAGAATCTGACACAGCAGCGTGAGGAAAGGGGTGAATGAGGCTCCCCTGCATTCTGAGGGTGTGCGCTGCTGTGTGCAGAGAGGTGGGACAAGATCACAGGCATCCCCCATCTGAACCCAAAGCAGGACCTGAGTGTTTTTTGCTGCAGTAGGGAAGCTGTAAGACCTCCTAGTGGAAAATCACCCGAGTCTGTCACTGCATGGGGCTCTGCAGTTCTGAGGGGCTCCTCCCTCCTGAACAGCTGGTTTGTCTCTGCTCTTCCTCTGGGTGACAGTGACAGTGTGGTTCAGGATCAGACCTCTGCAGATCTCTGCCGTTACTTCTGTCCCTTGCGATGCTCTGCATTTTGTTCAAGTCGGAGAACACCCTGTGTTTAACGATGTCTATGAGCTGGAAAGATGACTCTGTGGGTAGGGGACTGCTGCACAAAGAGGACCTGAGTTTATATCTAAAGTACCAAGGTACAAACTCAGGTATTGTAGCCCTGCAGCAATCCAGTTCTTGTGGATGATTCTGGAGTCCCTGACTACCCACTCAAGCCAGGTGGTGAGTTCCAGTCTCAGTGAGAGAACTTATCTCAAAAGTAAGGTGTGATAGAGACACCAGATGTCAACCTGTGCACAAATATTATTTACACATGCACATACAAATTCCCACACTAATATATATGTGTGTGTGTGTGTGTGTGTGTGTGTGTGTGTGTGTGTGTGTACACACACAAACATATTTCACAATGTAAAACAGAACTATAAAATATTTGGACAAAGATTCCCACAAACCTCATCATTAGAGAGTCTCTGGCAAATCTGTGGTGTAGTGTGGACAAACAGCTCAGACACACCGGAGTCCAGTTCTCTATTCCTCTCTGCACCTGTTGTGATATGCCCCAGAGCTCTGTGTTTCAGCGCCCCCTGCTGGTCCCGAGTGCCCTGCAGGGAGGTTTGTGTCTGGGCTCACACTGAAGTCCCCTCACTGTGTCTCTTGCACAGTAATACGTGGCCGTGTCCTCAGACCTCAAACTGCTCATTTGCAGGGACACGGTGTTCTTGGAATTGTCTCTGGAGATGGTGAATCGGCCTTTCACAGAGTCTGGGTAGTATTTACCACTTCCATCATAAATTATTGCTGCAACCCACTCCAGCCCCTTCCCTGGAGCCTGGCGGACCCAGTGCATGGCATAGCTGCTGAAGGTAAATCCAGAGGCTGCACAGGAGAGGGTCAGGGATCCCCCAGGCTTCACCAAGCCTCCCCCAGACTCTACCAGCTTCTCCTCACACTGGACACCTGTAAACAGAGAGTCCTCATCAGGAACTTGTCACACCTGCCCACTGTCCCTCTCACCCTTGTCAACTCACACACCCAACATTCCTTCTTTTCCATAAATCACCTTTTAAAAGAGCAACGAGGAAAAGCCAGCTCAGCCCAAACTTCATGGTGAGTCTGTGTTCAGTGTTGATCAGTGAATGGAACACCTGGGTGTGCAGGGCTGGGCTCCTCTGCCAGAGCTGCAGGGTCAGGGCTGGGCTGGTTTTCAAGAGCAGAGGGAGGCCTGATTTGCATGATGTCTTACTATATAGTAAGGACTCAGGTTGGAACTCTGGAAAAACTTAGAGCTTAGGGCTCACAGACTTCAGGGACACTGATGACAGTCACGGAATTTTAGCCAATATGGGAGCTCTGTATGTACTGTTTACTTGTTGAGAATTTACCACACTGAATTGCAGAGATGGCTCAGTGGGTTAAGAGCACTCACTACTTTCAAGGAACTGGAGTTCATGCCTAGCACCCAAATCTGATGCCTCACAACTGCATGTCATGTAAATACAGCTCCGGGTGGATCTGATGTCTGTATTTTCCACAGACACCTGCACTGAACTTCAAATACTCGAACTAACATAAGGCATCCGCATCATTAAAAATAAGTTTTTAAAATGAATTACACAGACTTCTTCATCTATTCCATGTATGTCCACATGCACGGAACATGTCCTATGTGCACTAGTGTTCTTGTCTTTAGAAGGACATGACAATAAGCACTATCACAAAGCGTCGTCTTCCTGCACAGAAGCCCACTGTCATCCTGTCTCCCCCACTGTCTGGGCCTGTGCTCCTCAGTGCTGGAAACAGCTTCTCCTGATGCAGGTCCTGGACCCACTCAGATGTTCCTTGTGAGGTTCCTGTGAAGGGAACACTTGAAGAGTTTTAGTTATTTCTGAAGTCTAGCTGTCTGCAGGTCTCAAGGTGACCTCAGAATCTCAGATGTGGCTGAAAACCCATTTGACAAAGTTCAACTCGCTCATGATAAGTCCTAGAGATGTTAGGAGGAGACGGAACATATCTCAAAATGATAAAGGCTCTGTACAGGAAACCTAGAGTCAACATTATAATTAAATGGAGAGGAAGAGAGGCATTTCCTCTAAAATCAGGAAGGAGACAAGGATGCCGATTCTCTGCTCTCCTATTAAAGGTGGTTCTTGCAGAACCAGAGACAGCACTGAGGGCATCGAGAGAAACCAACTTATTTCTATGTACAGTGCCATAATTCTATTATTTATAATTTATATTTATACATAATTCTACATTTATAGTATCCTATTAGTCTACTACAAATCTGTATTTAACGATCCTTTTCTGTTAAATTTCATGATACGAAATCAAAAGCATGTCCAGTGTCCTTCCTACATAGGGAAAATGAAGTCACGGGTCAGTAAATTAGGAAAAATATCTCATTCAAAGAGCTCCAAATACCAATTAACCAGTAATAAATGAAACCAAAGAAAGGCAAGCAGTTCTCAATGAATAGGTCAAGACGCATCTGTCTCCCAATAGCCCGTCTCCCAGGCTCCTTCTCTTGGCCCCCCTCCTCTTCCTTTCCATCTTCCTGACTGCTGAAGTTTCATCAGAATATGTCCTCTGGTACCAGCATTTGGTATAAGACCCACAAAAGGGAGAAGTAATACGTCCCTTGTTTTTCGGAATCTGTGTTACTTCACTTAGTATAACGCTTTCTAGTTCCAGCCATTTAACTGCAAATTTCAGGATTTCATTTTTTTTTTTTTACTACGAATCTGTGTTACTTCACTTAGTATAACGCTTTCTAGTTCCTTCCATTTACCTGTAAGTTTCATGATTTCGTTTTTCTTTACCATGAGTAGAATTCCATTGTATAAATGAACCACATTTTCATTATCCATCGTCAGTTGAGAGACATTTAGCTTGTTTACATTTCTTAGAAATGTACATACAGTTTCTGAACATTGGTGTGTATGTGTAACTGGGGGCTGTATTGCAAGGAACACTGTGCCAGACAGGAGAGACCTACCTTCAAGTGGCAGAGTAGTCCAAGACACTCCCAGCACAGCACAGGCTATTTCCAGAGTTTGTCAAGCCTATCTCCAAGAATCGGAAGAGAAGACCCTATGCTGAAGACAGGACATACTTTGGACACTGGACTTGGAGCAATGGAGCAGGAGCCGACATGGAAGTCTTCTACCTGAAGTTTAACTCTCATAGTTCTAGATGACACTATGAAAGCTGCTCAGGGAGAAAACCAGTCAATGGTCCAACCTGGCCCTAAAAGCCCAATAATCATGAGGACTGGAACAGCAAACTACCTCTACTGGTGCAGTAGTGGCACTGTTTTCTAGGAGGTAATCAACAACTATCTAATTGAACTTAAAGCCCTCTCAATGGGAAGGAACTCATGGATGGCACTGTAAACACAGCCAAATACACAGGGCTGGAGAGATCCTAGAGAGAACCCCATCTCTATCATGTCTCTAGACAGAGGAAATATCTTTTCATATGCTAGATATGGATCCTTATATTTATGGACAAGTATACCATATACCACTCTTCAAAAAAGGTTCTGTTTGCAACAGATGGAGGCTACTGCATGTAGGAAACCAAGATGCCAGACCCTAGGGTGAGATGAGCCCGCATGTACAGAACCCATGCAAACATGACAGCATGTACAGAACCCATGCAAACTCAATTAGACAAAAACCAGCATAAAGCTGGGGAAATGGTCCAGAGACTCCAACCGTAGACAGGGAACTATTGGCAGCTGATCACTGCTGGGTGAGGGAGACTCAATCTCCTTTAAGGGAGTGATGTCAGATACGCTGACCAGGCTGTCACAGTAAGGGACACCTGGGGACACAAATTTGACCCAATACTCCTTAGCATACATGCCACAATGCAAGAAACCCTGTGAATGTGCTATGGGGAGGGGTGCAGATAGAGGGGAGCCCTAAATATGGTTAAGATATATTGTATTAAATTCACAAAAGTTTGATAAAATACATTGAAAGGAAAACAAAAAAGTTAACATGCAATAAAAATTTTAAAGAGAAATTCTAGAACATCATCCACTATATAGTGAGTTTGAGGACAGCCTATGCTAGAGACCTAATCTCAATAAATAGCTAAATAATGAAGAAAGGAAGAAAGGCCAAGACGCATAAAGGTGAAATTGAAGAAGACACCAGACTGTGGAAGACTGCCCATGCTCGTGAATTGGCAAAGTTAATACTGTGAAAATGACTATGCTACCAAAATTATTCAATAGAGTCAATGCAATTCCCGTGACTGTTCTGATGTCACACTTCACAGAATGAGAATAGCAATGCAAGAATTCATGGGACAGGAAGACCAGGAAGAGCTAAAGAAAATATATCTTTAATTTGCCAGGAATCAGGATTTTCGAAACAGCTTCTGTGTGCATTTCATAGCAATGCAAGCACGAGGCCTTAGTTCCGGAAGATGAAAGAAATCAAGGCACGGGTACATTTTTAAATAAATGATAGTCTTATTTCCTATGATAGGAGAACATTTTCTGTGTTTGGGGGCTTTCCTTCATGTCGGCACAGAGATAGAGCAAATCAACTGTTGATGTCCATAGACCTCTAGACCTTCAACTGGAATCGTTACAAGTCCATAGACTAGAGAACATCAGAGCTCTGCTCTTTTCTATTATTTGGTTTTCCTGCATTACTTCTAAGGTTGGATTAGGAGAAATAACTGTAACAGGTTGTTCTAACAAAGCAATTACTGAAGAATCTGACACAGAAGTGTGAGGAAAGGGGTGAATGAGGGTTCCCTGCATTCTGAGGGTGTGCGCTGCTGTGTGCAGAGAGGTGGGACAAGATCACAGGCATCCCCCATCTGAACCCAAAGCAGGACCTGAGTGTTTTTTGCTGCAGTAGGGAAGCTGTAAGACCTCCTAGTGGAAAATCACCCGAGTCTGTCACTGCATGGGGCTCTGCAGTTCTGAGGGGCTCCTCCCTCCTGAACAGCTGGTTTGTCTCTGCTCTTCCTCTGGGTGACAGTGACAGTGTGGTTCAGGATCAGACCTCTGCAGATCTCTGCAGTTACTTCTGTCCCTTGCAATGCTCTGCATTTTGTTCAAGTCGGAGAACACCCTGTGTTTAACGATGTCTATGAGCTGGAAAGATGACTCTGTGGGTAGGGGACTGCTGCACAAAGAGGACCTGAGTTTATATCTAAAGTACCAAGGTACAAACTCAGGTATTGTAGCCCTGCAGCAATCCAGTTCTTGTGGATGATTCTGGAGTCCCTGACTACCCACTCAAGCCAGGTGGTGAGTTCCAGTCTCAGTGAGAGAACTTATCTCAAAAGTAAGGTGTGATAGAGACACCAGATGTCAACCTGTGCACAAATATTATTTACACATGCACATACAAATTCCCACACTAATATATATGTGTGTGTGTGTGTGTGTGTACACACACAAATACATTTCACAATGTAAAACAGAACTATAAAATATTTGGACAAAGATTCCCACAAACCTCATCATTAGAGAGTCTCTGGCAAATCTGTGGTGTAGTGTGGACAAACAGCTCAGACACACCGGAGTCCAGTTCTCTATTCCTCTCTGCACCTGTTGTGATATGCCCCAGAGCTCTGTGTTTCAGCGCCCCCTGCTGGTCCCGAGTGCCCTGCAGGGAGGTTTGTGTCTGGGCTCACACTGAAGTCCCCTCACTGTGTCTCTTGCACAGTAATACGTGGCCGTGTCCTCAGACCTCAAACTGCTCATTTGCAGGGACACGGTGTTCTTGGAATTGTCTCTGGAGATGGTGAATCGGCCTTTCACAGAGTCTGGGTAGTATTTACCACTTCCATCATAAATTATTGCTGCAACCCACTCCAGCCCCTTCCCTGGAGCCTGGCGGACCCAGTGCATG